CACAAGCAGCAACTGGAAACTATATATTTATATCTTGTACATTAGAATTGCTCTGTACGACATAAATAATGCATAAAGGTAAAGGTAAAGATTTCCCCTGTCCAGTAGTTTCTGATTCTAAGGGGTGGTGCTCATCTCTGTTTCTTAGCCAAGGGAGCCAATGTTGTACAAAGACATTTACATGATCATGTGGCTAGCATGAATAGATGCTGATGCATACGGAATGCTGTTACCTTCCTACCGAAGTGGGAATAATGCATACTTAGTGCTTTCAATCCCACAGACTCTTGTTGCAAAATAAGCAAGATTTTTCTTTTTACCTTTTGATTAGAACTAACAGACAGAACCTTTCTTTGCTTCAGCAGCTATTTTCAAATGTATTTATTGGATACATTTATTTTCATTTCAAAAGTGTCATCCATGAAAATGGGCATTCTTTATTGTTAGTTTTTAGCCTTTTTTCTGGGAGTGGGAGTATAAATCCAACCTATATGTTTTATTTTTGTTTAAAGAACTTCACTGGCAGAACTCTATATTATACTCCGTCAAAGCCTTATTGCAGGAAATACCACAGATAAGTCCTATGGTTTCTGGAGTAAATTTGCATTTTTGGCAGTGACTTTTTTCCTTTAAACCAGAAAAAAATTATAAATAATTCATGAAGTCCAGTCATGTTGATGACTGGTTTTGCTTCTTACCACATTTGCTTTAGATTAACAGATTACCCAAATGCAGCATGCCTTAGACTACAACTCCCTTCAATTCCAGCTAGCATTGTGAGGTTAGGGAAGAATGTTTTGGGTTGTATAATAATGAAAGAAAGAATAAAATCTAACATTTGATGAAACTGTACAATATACATTAGTTGGTCATGTGAAAAAAACATCCAGATTCAGCCCTATAGGTGTATGTTCACCATGGGAAGTTACCATGAGGATGCTGCAACAGTTCTAAAGGTGAAAAATGGCCATAAGTCACTTTTTCAATGCCATTGTAACTTAGAGAGGTCACTAAATGAAAGGTTGTAAGTCGAGGACTATCTGAATTCAGTTTTACTTTCCATTCCATCACACTATTTTTGGGCTCAATTTGAGATCAATATTAAGGACGGATGATTTCATGTGAAAGATAGTTGGGGTTAAATAGCCATTGTGCTGGATTTGTTGTGTGCTAAATATTGTTCCTATTATTTATTTTTAAACTTCTATGCCGCCCTTCTCCCCAGAGGGACTCAGGGCGGCTCACAGCATGTTAAAAAACAACACAAAAAAAAAAAAAAAAACATTTCCCCTATAAAACCAATTAAAAAGCAAATATATTAATGGCTGTGTCATATTTAAAATCTTTAAAAAATTTTAAAAATTATTCCCTATTTAAAATTCACC